GATCTTTCTGCATTGTGATTGTTATGCAATATGTATAACATAGAAAATAATTTTACATAATCATAGTTGTTTTGTTTCCTAAATATTTTATCTAAATGTACTACAATTTTTAACTCAAGTACTGCATTTTTATCGCCTCCCAAATGATTCAGATCCTGGTGTCCTGCTTCGTGAAGACCTCACATTTTGAAGAATACCTTTGTGTTAAGGTGAGAGTACATTTTCTAAGAGCTATATCCCCTTTGGATTGAGACATGGTCTGCTCGATTAATAATTTGATGTATTTTGCCACTGGAACTCCAGTTATTCCACTCATATCACAAGGTTGATACCAGATAGTTGAAACCCATAGTTCAGTAGCTGAAACAGACTCATCCTAGTGATGCACACGTTTTGAACTTGGGGTCGTTCTGAATTACCAGTTTCCAAAGTAGAGGAAATGGGTGTGAGGGAGAACTGTATCTATTGGAGCATCCTGAGTGTGTGAAAAATGATATATAAATAATAATTTCACTTTGGTTTGGATGTTGCAAGTTGAGAAAGAAACATTGTACATAGATGGGCATTCCAGAAACCTATCAATTTTTATCAGAAGGCAATAAAATAATAATAATAATAATAATAGATATGGAGCTGGCAAATGTGTAGACCTACAAACTCTATACTCAGAGAAGCAACAAACTAGGAAATAAAGTTCTAAACAATGGGTTCAGCAAAGTCTTACACTAGATGCTAAATTTAATTTGGTGCTAATATGTTGTACGCATAGATTGTATATACCCCAAGCTCTTCTCCGACCAGCCTGTTGCTTGTTCATGTAGAAAGTTTACAGAGGGAGAAAATTCACACTTTTAAAATCACTTTGCTCTATGATATACATCTTAGGATTGGAAACTTGGTATCCTGGTTTTAAAATAACATAAAACAGCTGTCATATTTTGATTTCATCATTTCTAAAACCATGTTCGGTATTGATTTTTAAAAATTCATTTTTGTCCAAACTCATTTTCAATGATACATTCCTCCAATAAAATAATTTTGTACAGACCCATGACTTTTTCCTATTTGTTAACTACAAATTCTTCAAAAATATCACTTTTCACAAAATTTATTCTCAAAAAATTTACATCAAACAGCCCTAAATGTTCTCATTAATTTATTTATATTTTGTTCGAGCTTATTTGATTAATGTTTTTTTTATTAAAAAAAAAAAAAAAAAAAAAAAGGAAGCTATACTTCTGGACCTTCTCAGAGTAATTCGGCATCACCGTGCTCGATTAGCCACTCCCATTCGCACTGTTCAGAAAATATATAGTGATTCAGACTTGGAAAATATACCTTATGCAGATTCTATTTTTAACCATGGAGCAGCTTCGAACCGTCCCTTGCTATTGATTGAGCCGTCCTATAAAATTAATGGGGAAGAGAGGACAAAAACTCAAGCTCGTCAAGTGCGTGTGAATGGCGAGGAAGACAGCAAGGCTGTGGCGCGGTCAACACCTGATAACATGGTGGATGCTAAAGGTGAAACAAGTTCAAGTCCTGATTCTAAATCTAAAGAAACGGCGTCTACCAGCTCTAAGACTAAAGATATCCTGACATCAGATAGGAAATCTGGTGCTGAGGTTGGACAAGCGCTGAAAGCTGAAACGAAGGACCAAAAGGTTGCAGCGGGCCCTTTCTCTGATCCCAAGATCAATAATAATGCAACAGCAAAATCAACATCAAAATCTGTCTCTAGGACTGATTCTGCATCAAGTACTAACTCCAAAAGTTCACCTGGTTCGTCCCAGAACACCTCTAATAGCAAGAGCCCTAAAAAGGTAGGCCAAGCAAGTTCTCATCTGGGCAGTGCAGTTGGCAATGCCTCAGACTCCTTGCCAGAGTCTGGAGGCGATCGATCAGACCCTGTTTCTGGTACTGCTCTAAAACAAGAAGACATGAGACAACCACCAGTTGTACAGCCTCCTGTAACAAAACCTGCTTTGGAAGAGAATATAGTTCTTGGTGTTGCTTTGGAGGGCTCAAAGAGAACCCTGCCTATTGAAGAGGAGGTGGCGCCTTCACCAAATCCTGAGGATGTGAAGGAATTGGCTGCATCGCGTAGAGGTAATGGTCCTCCAGTGTCTGAGAAGGGTAAAAATGACATCAATCGTTCAAACATTCCAGGCTCAACAACTGGCGAGCAGTCAGATCAGCGAGACTAAAGATATTTAGCCTCTTGTCCCATCCAGCATAGAAAAACCGGTCAAGCTTGTTCTAGGATAAAATCCTCTGTACACATGACATATATATTCATCCACATCTTG